TTCTGGCTGAAGTTTTGTTGACCTAAAACACTTACGCTGTAGTACTTCTTGGTAGCGAATGATCGTTAGTAACCAACTTGCATTAATCTTAGCAATTACTTATCATAAAATCGCAAAAAAGCACATATTAAGCACTTATTAACTGCAATAAGGATTTCTAAGTTGATTTTCATCTAGTAGATAGCAACACACCAGCAGCAGCCTTACTCGAGTTGGCACTCGACAGTCGATCGACAGAGTGCTTTGGGCCATGGTCATTTTTTACATAGTGATGGTTTGCTTCGAAGTCACTTTCAGTGTAAGCCGACGGTTTGCAATCATGTTTTTCATAACGAAGAGCCATGGGCAGTCCACACATCAGTAAACTAAATACAATATCAACGGTGCGTTACAAAGAAAACAAAGCAAGCTGTGAATGACTCACCTTTTAACGATCACTTAAAGTCTATTGGTCCAACAGACTTTAAGGTACACTACCTGTATCGCCGAATTCGAACGCAAATGAAGGCCACGATCTAACAAATAGTTTTTAGGTAAAAAACCTACAATCTTTAAATACATCACATTTTATTCACTCATCATCTTTATTATAGATAAGTGAAAACAAGCCATACCAGAAGCAACTTTTCATAACGATACAAACAAAATTTCTCTTCAAACGCTATTCAATCATTCTTATTCCAACATTGCAACCCATTACGACAAAGTATCTCCTCTCATAAACGTACTATGCAGAGCCATACAATAATTGTGATTTTCATGTTGCATGCTACGTATAACAATTAACTATACTTTCAGTAACTGCATCGCTTATTGTATAATTTCATGTGATTTGGTACAGTTTAAAAAGGAACTTTAGGCAAGTTTGTTTTTAAATAAAGTTATTTTGTTGCTACTGATCCTACTGAGAATGAAAACGCAACTTTAGTTATTGTAGTATGTAGCATACAATTTCATCTAAATGAATATTTTCATTAGAACGCATGCCTCTAGACCTTAAAAAGTGCCATGAAAATTTATGCAAACCATCAGCTCAACGCAGCTTATCACAAAGTGTTTCTTAAAATTTTATACATTGTATTGTGTTAGTTCGCTGAGAACAACTGCAGAATTGACTAAAAATCCTTGAAGTCCAACGGCCCAAATGCAAACGACGAGTCAAATATAGAAAAGTAATGAGCACGCATTTTGGAAGCAAATCAACCTCTACTACACTTCGCAGTTTCTTGAAGCATGTTGTGTTTAATGGCACAACTGTTCCTCTGCGAGCTTCAGCTTCGCAGGATTTGTTTAAACTGCTTCCTTGTTTAAAGTAAGTCGTATCTTGTCATCGCAAGAAGTTTAAAGAAGAAGGAATCACCCGCTTGACATGAATTTGAAAAGGGCTTATTGGAACAAATGAGTATCTTTTGTGATTTATAGTCGAAATTAATTAAAAACATTGAAAGGTGAACAAGTCGATGGCTACATCATGATAAATTGATCGTGTACGCCTATTCCCTTCAGTTTTCCTTGCCGTTTGGATTATCACTAACCACGATTTCGATCATTTTCCTGTGCCTCCAGTTTATCTCTTTTCGAAAAAATGAACTAGATTGAGAACGCTCACTTCGTTTTTTATGAGCAAGTGTTCAGCAACCGCCAGACGTTTCTCTTCATCTCTAAAAAGCAGGCCATTTGTTCACGCACACTGTCTTGGGGTTTTTCTCCAGCTTTTCACTATAGCCGTTGCTAGAAGTGCAATTTCAGAAATACACTAAAATGGGAATATCCTTTTACGGTAGAATCACTCTCTTATGCAGCACGAACCTGAGTTTGAGACGCTTTCATTCGGCTAGAAACCAATCTTCAAGCAACAGAATATTTGATGAAAGCTTGTTAGCAGAAGAATGGTCATCCTCTACCTTGTGTTGCCATGGATGAGAGCTTCAGCCTCTAATAGATTACTCAAACAATTCCATTTCAGTTTATTTGGTAAGCGCTTATTTCAGTCCACTTCTGCTAAAATGAATTGTTATCTTATGGCTAACCTCATTGTTCTTACTACCGGCGTTGATATCAGTTACTGTCAAAAGCACATAATTATAAATTATAGTTTCTCCAAGCCGAATGTGCACTAGACTGAATCAAGACTTCCTTGATTGGCAAGTACCCAATCGGTTTTGCGGCTGATCCCGTATGTAATCTATCTGCTTTTAACATCAGTGTGGAAACCTGCTTAAAATGCAAGTATTGACAGCATTAAGTTCTCCTTTGCATAGGCTCTGTTAGCTTTTAAAAACGATCAGACGGTTGTATCAAAAGCATCAAGTGAAGAAATTTTGAATTTATCTCCTTTCTTCTTCATTCGAATCAGCACAGAATCGTCATTGCACAGCTGCAATTTTTTCGCTTTTCAGTTACTCATATCAGAGCCCATAAATCTATTAATTGCGTTGTTTGTGAATCAGGGATGAGCAGAATTTGTACAACTGAACCAAACAACGATACGCTTAGGTCGTGCACGACACAGAAACAACTTTTTTAAATTACAATTCGATAAATACTTGTAATTTTCTTTTATTTCTCCGGATTCGCACAGCAGCGTTTCATCGTCCACTAGCTTCTAATACCATATGGTAGCGTTTAAACAGGTCACAACTCTATCGTAGAATGCATGGGCCAAAACATCAATACTATGTTGAATCGAACAGGTTCTATGTTCCCCGTCTGACTGTGGCTGATGGCATCGGGGGGAGGGGGCGATTTATTCGAGATACCTACATATGCCAGCTAATTTCATCGCTTTCCCTCTGTTACGAATGGGCTCATTGTAACATTTGACTTCCAGATGTTAATGAATGGATCGGTTTTCACACCTGCATTACAGACGGAATCAGTCAAGCTAGAAAAACTGCTCACTGTAGTAATCATCCAGATTATATGATGTGGGTACTCTAGACATTCAGTTTAGAATGATCCAATTATCCATGCTAGGGTCGATATCGTATCTGGGATAAATTTCGAGAATAATATTGGTAGCAAAGGAGAATGCACGTATACCTAGTGCACTGCATGGTTAATAATGAGCCATTCAGATGACGAATGAATGAAGATAACCATGACTTAAACAGCAGATATGATTCGTGCATACATCTCGTCTAAAATTAAAATAATGCGCTCAGGCTCCCCACCATATCTTAAGTTTAGTATTCCACTGGATGTACGATGTTCTGAACCAAATGGACCTTAAATTCCTGATCACCGCCAACGAGGGAGCAGCACGTGAAGAAATACGTGAAGAAATTTAGATTTGTTCATTCTTCATCTATACAATATTAACAGATCAGGTTCTGCACCAGTGGTTCATATGTGAAAGACAATTGCCAAGCAGCTATTCCGTTATAAAAGCTCAAACCAAACATGCGTTATATTGAAACAAATCGTCAACATTATCCAGTCACGAAAGTGCCATTAATTGAAAGGAACGAATCTGGGAGCTATGAAAACTGTACTATGGAAATACTTACCATCGTAATTGAATCCGTAGGAAGATATCGACTTCTAAAAACAACGCGTGCTTCGATAATAATCCTTCACTTATACTACTCAATTTCTTTTTCACTCTTTTTTTTTCTCTTCTGCTTCCACTCTTTCCTATAAAATTATATACATTGTGGAACATTGTGGAACTGCTACCCACCAACACAACATACAGTGGGACAGAATGAAAGGTGTCGCGCAGGAATAGCAATAGCTGTCCCGCAAAGTCAAGGAAGCGTTATTGATCTGAGCAATAGACTGCATCAATCGCGACCCTGGAACAGACGTCAGCGACACATAGACCGAAAACATCAGGCGGCCGATTAAGACTGGCAAGCAAACACGGCATGATTGATCATCCGGGCCAACCAGACCCGAATGAAAATATTGTGCCGTTTGTCATCGTAATTTTAAGATGGATCGAACTTCGTCCGAAACGTCAGATGTCTTTAATTAAAGACTATTTTATGCGTCGCCTTTTTTAGGAAAAAAGCAAGATTTCTCATCTTGATATCGAACTGGAGAGAAACCGTGTTCCTAAAACATCATTCACGAACAACTCAACAGAATAGGCTAAATTGCTAGAAAAGATGTAAACAACCAAGAAGGAACCACAATTATCCCTGAAGATTTCCAAAACCGAACTCTCCTAGTCATCCAGTACCAGTAGTGTTAAAGCGGCATAGTAAAACATTTAATGGGATGACGTGAGGCAGCTATGGCTTGCAGATCCTAAAATAGTCAGGGCAACTTCCCATAGAAAAAACAGAATATCGAAACGCAAGCATAGTATGGTTCTTCAAGATCCTCGAGAGAGTTAATTTGAAGAAATCTGGAAAAAGCTGAAGAACCGAAGCAGGAAAAGATGACTTCTCTCAACAGAGCGAATGAAAAGATCTATTGCGAATACTGCAAATCTGTCCAAGCGTACTAAATAGCAGTGACACACAACGAGATGCAGGCAGCACAGCTCGCACAAATGCCACCTAGCAAAGACAACGTTTTGGATGCTGGAAAAATGCACATAAGCATGCGGGAAGAACCATACAACATGAAACTGGCATTTCCCCCTTATTAGAGGTTAACTTATCAGTAAATATATTTTGCTTGAACTCGCTTTTGTCTGTCATCATAAGCTTATAATCACCCTCCTCCTCATCATCATCTTCCATCGCCGCTTCTCCTTTTGGGTCGCGGAACATATAATCATACTCTTGCGAATATGTCCATTTATCAAAATATTCAAAATGCATAAAAAAACAGTCGCAGCCCCAGAATCAAAACAGAGGAAGAGCAGTATATGCAAAAAAGTGACGACAACTAAACCAGGCTTGAGG